GGGCATTGGCGCATTATATTTTAATTTTTTCAAACAAAAATAACATAAAATTCTAAGAACATTATAAAAGTAATTGTAAAAAACCTTTATTAATATATGAAACAAATAAAGGAAAAAAATAGAAAAAAAAGCGAGAAATGAAAAAATCAGCACTGATACCCCCTATGGTTTAGAAAATATACACCAATGCCCCCCTTCTTCGCCGAAAAAAATGGCCGGAAAATGACCAGAGGGGATACAGGTGCAGCATTTTGAAACCACAAGAACTTTAGAAATAAGTTTTGAAAACAAGGGGGGTATTGCTGCCTATTTTGCAAACCACGGGGGATACTGGCGCTATTTGGCCTTACTTTATATTAAAATCAGATCAGAAATAGCATTAAATGTAAAAAACACTTCCCCAACGACTGATTCAAAAACCCTTCTCCAGAAATGACACCAGTTCTGGGAAAGGCTTTTTGAATCGGTTGTTTGGGAACAATCAATTCAAAAAATCCTCCCCAGAAGTGGCACAATGAATCGGTTTTATCAAGAGTCAAGACAACCGATTCAAAAAGCCTTCCCTAGAAATTGTACCAATTATACGGAAGGGTTTTTGAATCGGTTGTTCCCAAACAACCGATTAAAATAATATATATATATTTTTAGAAAATATTTGCATTAAATATCACTAAAACTTAAGTCATTTCCCTAAATAACACTTAAATTGTTTTATTCCCTGAATAGCACTTAATAATGTCCATAATGTCCCGTGATAGCGAATATTTGCTTGAATAATGACTATTGCATGATGACCAAAAGTGCTACTTTGGAAAAAAAACACATGTGATGCTATTTAGGGAAAGTCAATATCTTTTAGTGCTATTTAAGTAAATTCCTCTATTTTTTATAGCACCAGAGAACAGAACACTATATAAACCAGCAGAACAAAACAGAACGCAACATGCCAAAGCAGACTTGTAGCAGAATAAAACTAACCAAAAGAGACTCATAACATATTCACCAAAACCAAAATAACAAAACAATTAACAAACTATAGGACCAAAATTCAATAACTAAACTATATATTCATTTTAACAAAGAAGTCATATTACTAAATACAAACATATAAAACTTAAACTAATTCATCAAGAAAACCCGCCGCACAAAACTCTCTAACCTCCTCCAATTTGGCAATTGTATACGACGAAGTAGAATGAAACACCTACAATATAATACGAACAAAAACTTACAACAACATAATAAATTTCAATAATCTTTAATAAAGAAGAACACTTTAGTTACAAGTACACACTAAAACAAACTTACATCGTGTAACGCTACGGAACACCAAGCACACGAAGTGAGGATGAGCCTTACAAATTGTATAGTATAATATCCACACTATGTCTCCCTGGGTTGTTGTGGCACTCTGGGAGCATCAATCTAAATATTTGCTATAGAATTCAATAATCTCTTCTGCCAAATATCCTTCAAAAATACTACCCTCGGGTCTATACTGGTTCCTCACATACCTTTTCAGAATACCCATAAATCTCTCTAAAGTATAAATATATCTTAGAAATACATGGCCATAAAATTTAACTTCTCTCACCAAATGTACAACTAAATGGACCATGATATCCAAAATTGATGGAGGAAAGAACATCTAGAGTTGACATAAGGTGACTACCACTTCCCCTTGTAACCGATTCAGCATTTCAGCATCAATGACCTTACTATAAATTGCATTGAGAAAATAACAAAGTCTAGTTATTGCCCTATTCACATTCATTGGCAATATTGATCTAGTTGCCATCGGTAAGAAATGTTGAATTAGTACATGGCAATCTGATACGGCCTTGACCACACAAGATGAAGACGTAGATCACGAAGAAACGACGGCATCGGTGGGGGCAAGGCGCAGTGAACGAGTGCGGAATAAACCGCGGTGGCAAACGGATTTTGTTATGCATAAATTCTATTTTATTATTTATTTAATTGTAACGTAGATTTTTCCTAGGTGAGCGAATTATAAGCTCCTTCGAGGGTTTCTTTACGGTTCTTTACCTCGTCGCTTTTCTTGAACCGTCAGGATAGATAATGTAGTCATTAGGGTTTGCAGTTCTCTACCTATAAATAGAGATTAACCCATTTATCGTAAAAAAGAGCAAAAAGATTAAACCCTAACCCTATTCTCTCTTTCTTTCTTCCCTGCCCCGCCGCACAACTTGTGTGGTTTCTCCTCAACCTTCTTTTCCCCTTCACTTCTTTCCTTTCTCCATACTCTTGGCAGCCCGGAGGAGCTCCGATCCTCTCCTTAACGATACTCAATCGTATCATTGGTGCTCTTGTTCCATCATGTCCAACGGCGCGGTTAACACGGAAGTCTTTGAGGAATTTCAGCAGCAAATTGAGAACCAATTCTCCGCTCAAACCAGCGCCATGCAGCAGCTCAACCACACGGTGCAACAGGTGCAGCGGGACATCTCCGGCTTACTCGCACGGGTGGAGAAGCATGGGGACGACTCCGGCAATCGCGGGGGAGGGCGTGGTCCAGACGCCTTGCATGGGAGTAATCCTACATCGCGGTTGAAGATTGATATGCCTAAGTGTGACGATACTCAATGATACGATTGAGTATCGTTAAGGAGAGGATCGGAGCTCCTCCGGGCTGCCAAGAGTCTGGAGAAAGGAAAGAAGTGAAGGGGAAAAGAAGGTTGAGGAGAAACCACACAAGTTGTGCGGCGGGGCAGGGAAGAAAGAAAGAGAGAATAGGGTTAGGGTTTAATCTTTTTGCTCTTTTTTACGATAAATGGGTTAATCTCTATTTATAGGTAGAGAACCCCAAACCCTAATGACTACATTATCTATCCTGACGGTTCAAGAAAAGCGACGAGGTAAAGAACCGTAAAGAAACCCTCGAAGGAGCTTATAATTCGCTCACCTAGGAAAAATCTACGTTACAATTAAATAAATAATAAAATAGAATTAATTCATAACAAAATCCGTTTGCCACCGCGGTTTATTCCGCACTCGTTCACTGCGCCTTGCCCCCACCGATGCCGTCGTTTCTTCGTGATCTACGTCTTCATCTTGTGTGGTCAAGGCCGTATCACAATCATGAGATTTAAGATCGTTCAATTTCAAATCCTTCATCGACACACGACTCTTAATGTTTCTAGCGTACTCATGTGGAACCTTTATATCACGTAGGCATTGACAAAGAGTAATTTTTTCTTCTCTAGAAAGTGTGTACTAAATCGGAGGTAGAAATATGTGATGTCCTTTTTCTTATGGACCAAGCTCAGTATGAATGTCCATGTCTATTAGGTTTTTTGGCATTTACACCATCCCTATTCTTGTCATGAACAATTAAGAGGGTGCCAATAAGACTATCTCATACATTTTTGTCTATATGCATCACATCAAGACAATGTGTGACAGATAAGCACTCCAAATAACATAGTTCCCAAAATATTGACCTTTCTTTTCAAATTACACCGTTTGCATCAACTTCTTGTGTCTTACCAAAAATTTGATTTATGTTATTTAACTTTTCGTGCAACGCTTTTCTAGTCAATACTTTCAGAGCAACCACATTTTGTGTTTTACCATTAAAAAAATTTCTCATCTGACGCGGTAAGGATGATGACGTTTTAAAAATCAACGGTGACCTAAGAAAACTAATTTTTTCCCGTTCTTTAGTCACACACTTGAAGTATTCTCCTCACATATCAAACATACATACTTTCTTTTAATCTTATAACCGAATAGGTTGGCATATGATGGGTAGTCATTGATTGTCCAAAGAATCATAACACACAACGTGAAACACTCTTGACGATAAGCATCAAATACAATGACACCATGAATCCACATTTTCTTCAAGTCATCAAGAGTGTGAATATAAGCATCAAATTACTCCATTTGCATCGCTTTTCTCTAAAACCGATGCAAATGGGGTAGTCAATTTGACTCTTTTTGTAGTAGTGAAACGATTTATAAATGAGCAAAAATGTAAACAATTTACTTAAGAGAGAATTCCGAAAAATGATCCTTTGTAAATTGTAATAAGGTATTTTTTCTGAATTCAGTTTCCAATAAATTCTAATTACCTATTTGATCTTTTATAATTGAGACTGATTCCTTAGTTAGTTCATCCTAAATAACGTTAGAAAAATTTACCTAAATAGGACTAAAACATAATGACTTTCCCAATATAAGACCATTTGTTTTTATTTCCCAATGTAGGACTTTTGGTCATTAACAAGTAGTCATTATTTAAGTAAATGTCTAGCATTACTGGACATTATTCCTCCCACGAGGTCATTATTTAGTCCTATTTAGGAAATAAAAAAGTTTAAGTCCTACATTAGGAAAGTTATTATGTTTTAGTCCTATTTAGTGCAAATTTCACATAACGTTATTCAAATGGTGATCATCTCTATATGATTAAATATAAAATTTAAAATAATACATTGACAATACATAATACATGAATTATTAAAAATCTTTAAAAAATATTTTAAAATTCAAATCAAATATACATCTTTAATTAGAAAAAACCATTTTGAGGATGCACTTCATTAGAAATAATCATTTTAAGAACTCATTCTAAATTTAGCAGAAAAATACCAAAACACCCTCTCAATTAATCATTATTTGAGTAACATTTTTTTACGAAATATTACCTAAGGAATAAATCTCAATTATATAGGACGATGTATGTAATTAAAATTTATTGATGACTAATTTGGAAAACACCTTATAAGGGTGATTTGCTCATTTATAATTAAATTGTTTTACATTGTTGTATAAAATTTATTGAGAACTGATTTAAGTATTTACTATTTACTTAATGAATAAATACTTAATTAATTTTCTACGATATATCTTAAAAAGTATGGATGCAATACAAATTAATAGTAATTGAAATTCAGCATTTCTCCAGTTTGATTCGAAAAAATCAAACTGAAATGGAGGTGGTACTACTTATTATGGCCGACTTTTTATGTTACAATACATATGGTACTTTATGATTGGTCGGGCTGGAAAATAAACAAATGGCGACCGGTCTGGCTGTTGGATCCCAAAATACTCCGTAAAAAATAAAATAAAATAAAAAAGGGTTTCTAGTAATATACTCCGTACTCCGTAACTAATAGTGATGGTGATGAGAATGGTACATTGAGGAAGCCGGCGGGGGTTCGTCTGAACTGTTTTCCGATGATCTGTGGTTATGATGATGATTGCTACTGCTACTCGCCACCGCCGCCCCGAGGTTTAGATACAACGTTCTTGCCGCCGACGAATCGTCGTGGTTGAGGTTAACCATGGTGGTTATGTTTCCACCGCTGCAAATTTGGCGACGATCATCGTCGTTCGCCGGCGGTGGCGGCGGGTACATGACCGTGGACGAAGTGATGCTGCTGTTGGTCCCATTACCTGTGCCCGTTACGTTCATCAATATCATAATGTCAACTTGTCAAGTATGAATTTACGCTCTCAAGACTACTATTTCATCCTAACTACTACTCCTAAGAAAGTAAAACCTAATTTACTGAAAATAAATCAAAATATTTTAAGGTCCCTATTAAAATAATTTTAGCCGTATACTACGGAGTAATTGTTTATTGAGCGAATTAAGAATGTTTATGATACTAAAATTGGATAATTACGTATTTTATAAACTCCGTATGAAATTAATAAAAAAATACAGTTTAATTATTACCTTCTTCGCGGGAGATGACGGAGACGGCAGACTGGACGAGCTCGAGGCAGAGGCGGAGCTTGTTCGGCTCCATGTGGGCCAACCCAGGTATCGCTCCTTTGAACAGAAAATCCGACGTTAGGGTTCGGAGAATATCCAAAGACGTCACCCCATTAACGGTGGGGACGTTCGGGTCCGCGTGGTGGTCCAGCAGCACCGCCACCATATCCGGCGAGACCATCTCCGCCGCAATGTGGAGCGGCGTCTTCCCGGCGGGACCCGCCGGAAAGTTGACGTCGGCGACCCCAAGCTCAAGGAGCGCCTTCACGACCTCGCGGCTGCAGTTCTGGACGGCGTAGTGCAGGGCCAGCGCGCCGTCCAGGTTCAGCCCCTCGCTCATCACCATGAGCTTGATGAGCTCCACGTCGGAGGAGTCGAGGGCCCGCCTCATCCGGCGGATCCTCTGCTCCTCCAGGGTGGGGCCGCCGAGGTTGTAGCGGCGGTGGCGCGGCAGCATGGCGGAGGACTTGTGGCGGAGCTCGTCTATCTTGGCCGCGAGCTCGATGGGGAGATGTTTGGCTAGGAGGTCGGAGGGAAGCCCGGATTTGGCAACCATTTGGGAACATGTACTGCAAAGCTCGGGAATTTCGTGTTTTGCTGAAACTAGCAACACTTTCATCACATCCTCCATTGAAGCCTTCTCAACCATGCTTCCTAGATGCCTCTACATATTTGAAAAAACAAAGATATGCATTATATTATCCACTTTGAAAAATTGAATTTACCTAAATAAGATTAAAACATACTCCCTAATGACTATCTCAATATAGAATTATACTCCTTAAAATTTTATTTCTCAATGTAGGACCATTGACTATTATTCATTAGTTTTTATTTAAGTAAATGTTATGTATATAAATTTTATTGAAGTGTATATTTTTTCATTGGTCATTTAAAAAATAAAATAATTTTGTCACTTTTTTGGTCTATATATAAAATTTTTATATAAAATAATTTGAAAATAAATGATGTGACACTGTTATTTTATTGAAGACATTATATAATTATTTTTATATAAAATATTTTTTATATACCCTAAAGAGATGCGCCAGCAATTTAACCAGTTCACATTCGTACAAAAGGCCAGTTCAATAAAAAAGAAATACACAGACATTTTGTGTCATGGAAATCATCACACTAGTATAAAATGTTTGTAGAAATCAGCCTAAATAGAACTAAAACATACATAAAAGTACCAAAATAGGACTTTCATATTTTTTCCTGAAATATGACTTTGCACTGTGATAATGTAACAGTGTAAATGTACACATTACTATACTTTTTGGTAATGTACATGACCATGTTTGGTAATGTACATGACTATGTTTGGTAATGTAAATGAATTTTTAAGTCTTATTTCGAGAATAAAAATATGAAAGTCCTATTTTCATTTTTTTTTAATATTTTAGTCTTATTTTAGTCTTTTTTTTCAAATATTAATGCATATCTTCGGAATAAAAGTTTAATTTTAAAATATATCCTACACACGAAAAAAACCCCAAGAGCACACAAAAAACATTTAAGGAGATGAAGGCCTACAAAGGCACAGAGAGCACTAATTAAGTTAGTGGGGGAGAAGATAGAATAAAGTTGTGGTGATAGTTGACTTGAGAGGGCAGTGCATTATTTGGTCCGACACATTGAAATATTTAGAAAGATGATAATTAAAGCTAATAAGATCAGTTGAGTGATATGACAAGACTGGAGACAAGTGATAGATCATAAACACATGTTGCTAGGGAGACACCAATCTCCCATTCTGGACATGTTATTTTTGAGTGAGTGCCTATTACTACTCATATTAATCATTACTAGTACTATACTTTCAAGAGAAAAAGAAAGAAAGAAAGAAAGAAACTCTTTCTTTTCAAGCTAAGAATCCATCAAGAAAATAGAAACAAGGGTTTTCTTTTGTTTTTGTTGATTAATAACTATGATAAGTTGCTAAATTAAATATGTAAAAACAAAGAAACATTCTATGACAAAACAAAACCCAGATTTTTATACTACAAGAGGCATGAATTATAGTGTATTATTCAAACCTGGGTGAGGAGAGCGAGCTGGTCAACGCCGAAAGATCGAGCGGCGGAGAGAGTGTCGAGGGCGAGATCGACGGCGGAGGAGCAATGCATGTGCCAGCACCCGATCTCCCGGCAGTCCGGGCGGGGCTGGTGTTTCTGGGGCACGAGCGACACTTGCCCGGTGTACATGAACTGCAGCATCAGCATGAACACCTCGTACCCCACCGAGTTCACCGGGATCACCGCCGGCGACGAAGACGCCGACGACCTCCTCGGCGACGCGGGGTCGGGGGAATCGGGGCCGCCGTGAAACAGCCTCCGGAAGAAGAGGCTCCGGGCGGCCAAGATGCAGCGGTGGGCATGGACCAATCTGCCCTCCACGGTGAAGGTGACGTCGCTGAAGGCCTGGCCGTTGATGAGGAGATTCAAGTAATCCAAGGACAGAGATCTCAAGCACTCTTCCACGCTAGTACTACTACTAGTACTGCTACTCATCGTCGAATTAATTAAGGATCGATGTGTTTTTTTTAATTGTTTAGCAGTGTTTTTCCTGTATGTATGTATGTGTCACTGCTAGCTAGCTAAAAAATTGTTTGATTGAAAAAGGGAAGGAGGGGGAGAATGAAGGAGGAAGCTAAGAGAGAAGAGAAGGGAAGGGGTTTTACGGTAGCTAGCTATAGCTATAGCTAGCTAGGTGAGTAATGAATGCTGGAAGCCTACCTAGGTACCTACATAGTACACTTGGGTGTTTATGTTTTTTGTTTCTTTCCCTCATTTCCACTCTCATACCCAATTAAATTAAATAAAAATATTTACACTAAATAATACTAAAATTTAAGTTATTTCTTTAAATAATACTCCATCCGTTCCAAAAAGATTTACATCTTTCAAAAAAATTGTGTCCTACAATCTCCTACACATTTCTATTAAAAAACCACTTTTACCCCTTACTTTTTCAAACCCTACCTATCACATCATACCTTTTTCCTAATAATCTACGCATCACATCATACTTTTACCCATCACATCAAAGGTATTTTTGGAAAGTCAACACAAAATTAGCTCTCTCTTAATTCAACTTTAGTCAAAACGTGCTCCTCCTCACAACTTCTCATGGACCGTGTTGATCCCCCTTCAACAGTGCTCTTTCTCTTCTTATTCCCGACAAGCTTGTAAAGGAGGTCACCCGTATCCATCTTGGTCATGTCCTCGACTGCGAAGAAAAAGCAACGAGTTAGTATGGATGATCACATGAAAAGTAAGGAACTAACGAAAAGTTGAATGCCAGGACGAACTAGCCGAAGGGGCCCAAGTCCTGGAGCCTTGGAGGAATGTCCATCAATAGATTCGGTTGGTGTCGGTATTCGTCTTGGACGAATTTGAACCCGAAGTTCATTAGGGACTCCTCGGTCACCAACTTGCCCACCTCAAATGGGCCTCTTTGACAGAGTTTTTTGGTGTCGCTTAGTAAGTTTCCCTTGGGAGCAGAAGACTGTACTCAGCAGAAGGAAGGATGACCAGGAGCCGTGAAGGGGGATTCTAGTCCGGTAGAGACGAAGACAAAGGAAGACTTCTATTCGTGGTTTGACCCTTTCTTTTTAATTTTAAAAAGCCTCCTAGTCCGTTGAGACAAGGAAACACAAGAGGCCCATTCCCCAGTTCCCCTCGTCAACTTGAACATAAGGATGAAATGCTCGAGAGAGGGGACAACTCTGACTGAGCGACACCTGCGTAGGTAGCCCGCTATATACCTATAGAACTTGGGAATAGTTGGTAGGCCAGAAAGTTGTGGTGGTTAAAGTACTCCATGACGAGGTCATGTAAGGGAAAATGTAGACCGCGCCTTAACGACCTAAGATGAACAGTGAAGAACCCAGGCATCTAGAGTGGTGGCTGTTTTGCTCGATCTAGGTACTTCGATCATGGGCCTCATCATGTTCGAAGCATCCCCAATGTCCTGATTGGATGTTTGATAATGGCATAATGCCATGATGTTCTCATCCAAATCGACGTGGGGGTGGATGGGCTAGGTTCAGGAAACCGATACTGTTCATGGAGCCTGCGCTTTTTGAGGCGGTTGAGGTGAATTCATGTAGGGGAATCACCGCTAACGGCGAAGCGGGCTCATACGAGGTATCAGAATTGAAGTTCCTCCCAGTATGGGGTGAATTTCGCTCCCCTTGAGGGACAAAACCAATGAGAGGTGCTGAAGAACCAAGGTCGGAAGACATGTTCGTGGAGGGGAAGGAGTCCTAACCTAAAGATTGAACAAAAGTCAAGCAAGAAGAGGCTAGACTTCAGTAAAAAATAGAGTTCGATGAGAAAAAGTATAGATATGATAAGCGACGGCATTTGAAACTTATCGTGGGAAGGAAGAGGTGAAGCAACAGGTAATGATGGATTCGGTGGAGATCATGCATAACCGCTCGATCGAAGAGATGAGACGGCTGCGGCACAAATACCAAAGGGAGCCACTCGTACACTTAGTACATTTATCTTCTCATTTTCTTTTCCTTCCACTTTTCTCATGAAAAATTGTTTTCCAGTCCATTTTTTTTCTTTTCCTTTTCAAATTTCTTGAACCAAACATAGTGTTAAGGCACGAAGAGTTGGTGCTTGTGATGGGCTATTGGGCCATGAGTTTGGCCCAACCCAAGATTTCTTAATAAATGAGTCCAAATGTAATGATTTACAAGAGGCTCGTCTACACCAAGCTATATATTGAGGCATAGACCAATAAGACCATTATTATCGATCGGGAGGCTCAATACACAGGTAACCTAATACTTGCGTCATTCTTCGTTCTCAAGAAGCTCTGTGTTTTTTTATCATTGCTATACTTGTCTCATAATTTAATCTCCCCCCTCCGATATTTCAATCCTCAATACTCCTCCACGTAATAAGTACAAAAATGAAATAAAATTGGGTTGATTACATCCAATGCTCGACTCATTATGATTTGATGTCGGTGACTTTATTGCATGTACCCATTCCATCCATCCTTCAACACACACAGAAATTACATGGATGTCCGTGTCATCCGATTTGATTTGATGGGGCGTAGCGACTTTTTTGATCCATCTTTCCTCCTCTTGGTCTTTCCTTGATACTCCTCTGTCCAAACTCCACTCCAAAAATGCTAGGGTACATCAACATGTGGTACCCTAAGTGTACACCAAGCCAACACAGACACACATAGACACCAAATGTCTGTGCAACACAGACACTTTGTGTCTGTGCAACACAGACACTTTGTGTCTGTGTGTGTCTGTGTTGGCTTGGTGTACACTTAGGGTACCCCATATTGGTGTACCCCTAGCTTAATTCTAATTTCTTTTGTTTGCTTCTAAATAGATTTGTCTTTTTATACTATTTTTCTGTTTCAAAGTGCTTAGATGAACAGTTCCAAAAGTCAAAACTGGACGAATACTCCGGGACAGAGGGAGTATGTTGCAGTTTACAATGTTAGATTGAAATTATTATTAATACAATTTATTTGAGACTAGGGGTAAATTTAAAATACTCCGTAATTGTTTTATCTATTTAAAAATTTCACCAAAAATTATACAAATTAAGAAATGATCTGACTATATCATTTATTAAACAAATACTCCCTCCGTCCTAAAACTTTCTTCTCATTTCCCCTTTTTCTCCGTCCTAAAACTACCTTCCCATTAGGAAAAAAAGATTGACAAATGACATTAATACTCTCATGTATTTACACCAATTATCTTCTAACTCTATATTTTGAATGATTGCAAAAAAAAATTTCAAAAAATCTTTTTTAAGGAGGGTAAAATTTGAAGTCAAAGCCAAAAATTAAAAATAGGGAAAAGTCAAACTGGAAAGAAAGAATTAGGACGGAGGGAGTAACAAAAACAGGAAAATAAAGTGAATAAGTTTGACCATGTGAATAATAAAGAGATGATTTAATTTGAGACGAATGAATTAGTATTAAAATTGTTTTGTGTATAATTTTGTATCCCTATATAAAGAAAAAAATAATCCAAAATAATTTCAACTTTAGCCGATCTTTTAAAATTAATCTCACATTCCACTATGATGTATAATGACCCACCACTCCATATATATTTATTTTATTTCTTACCAGTTTTAGTTTAATTTATATTGATTACCTTATTTTTTTCATTAATTTTGTGTGGTTTTAGTTATTTGTCTCATTTTCATTATTTTTTATATCTATTATTTTATTTTTTCTACGGTAAGACTAATCTTTTAAAAATAAAAAAGAAATGGAGGTAGAAAGTCATTTTAAAATTTTAAATGAAAATTTTAAAAAAAAATAAAAAACAAAATTGATCAAAAATAATCTAAACTTTCATTTTTTTTGCGTAAAACAAGTATTTCTGTTATTGTTGCAAACCAAAACTTGCAAATATCAATGTTGGGATTGTTAAGCATCACATGAAAGGTGAAATTATTTTTAAAAAATCAAGTAAAATTGTGATTATTCTAGTTTATTTTTTCCTCTATAAATTCTAACCTAAAGTTTTCAATAAAAAAAATATGAAAAGCCAAAATGGGCACATCTTTTGTAAATTAAACGAAGAGGGCTTGACAGGGCCCAAATGATCACTAGTCCAGTAATCCGTGGTTACATTAATTCGAAGTTTGCCATTGAAAAATTAAGTATCCCTTCGTCTTTTTATAATTTTTTTAAAGAGAAGCGAGCCAAAATAAATGCCATTAGAGCAACTCCAAAGGATCTTTCATCTTCTAAAATAAAGCATTTTTGAATGATACTGTAGCAAAAAAAAGGCTCCAATGGGTCTGATACGAATATCGTATCGGATAGGGAAGAACTTCGAGCGTTCTTCAAGCTCCAAGAAGAAAGGTGAGAAAGATAGGAAACTTTGAGCGTTTCCGGGCTCCAAGAGAATAGAGGAGATTAGGATTTTGATATTTCTTTATTGATTGATTGAATAAAAGGATTATATCGCTATTTATAGGAGATAGAGAAACCCTAATGCTAACGGTATTTGACCTAATGGGCTCGGGCCCATGCTAAAACCTTCAACAACATTAACTATTAAATATTAAATAACTACTAATTAATAAATAATATAACTAATCTATTATCATATCATTCTCGCCCCCTTAAAAACCACCTTGTCCTCAAGGCGGAGGTTCCCACTCAAGATTTTGGACATGCGAGAACGTGCTGAACCAAAAAAGATGTCCAGTTGTAGACCAATCTTCAAGAAGCTATGCAGATGAAGTATAGCGGTAGAAAGAAGATGGATGGCCAAACTTGCATTGAACTATTTTCTTTGAACCCAAGTGCTCAGACTTGACAATACCAACAATGTCGAACAACGCAATGGTGTCCAACGAAATTGGGTTATCGGCGTGGATACAATCTTCATCTGTCACCTTGTACACACCTTCTAAAAGTGCAAACTCTTTATTTTTCCCCACGATGTTGGACCCCTCGTCCTCTGCATTTATGAGTTCAGGCCCACTGTCCATGTTATCCCCAACATATGATTCTACGCTTGAATCATCCCTTGACTCCTTTTCATGAGACTCAGTGTTTGATATGGTGACCATATGAGCCAAATTGGGTGGAGAAAGCGGGGCATTGATAAGGTTTCGGATGGCATTCATCATTTTTGTTCTGAAATTTTGTAACTCCAAAGGAATCAAAATCGGCAAAATTGAGGGACCACGAACAAAATCCTGTACCGCACACGAGATTTCAATGTCAAATGCATGTAAGCCAGAATCATAATTGGACTGACCTTCAATATGACGAAATGACTGAAGATTTGTTATCATTTCATCAATGTAGTCGTAAAGTATGCTGACTCCTTCGTCATGTTCAATTTCGCCATAAAGAACCATCTCTAGCAAAGCAATAAGTTTGTCCAATGTACTAGTACTCATAATCAAAGTCTCTAACCGCTGGAAACGGGCCTCCATCCGAAATGAAAAATCTTGCTGCATTTTAGCCAAAGATTGAGTAAAAGTATTCATCCTTTGAATTACCGTGCGCAGGACTAAACACTGGTTGCGACTTGAATTTCTTCTAAAATTGCTATGCTTGCTCTGTTTTTTTTTTTTGCTAGATGAAAACCAAAAAAAGTTCACTAGATAATAGTATGACGGCCAAAACTTCCTAGACTGCAGCCTTGCATCGCAAATCAAATCTTCAAAACTTGAATTGGATTTGAGAGCTTCTCAAATCAGATCTTCAAATCCTTTTTTTTAAATAACAAAACTTGATTTGGAGTTTCGAGCTTTGGATCATATTTCAGCAAAGAACTGTAACAGCTACGCGGAAGAACTGGGAAATGCTTCTTAAATTTTCCGATCGGCGGTGGTGACTCAACTCAAAGGTGTGAAGGTGAACTTTCAGTGGCGGCGGCGAAGTAATTTACTACGGCGCAGTTGAGATGCGTCTATGCCAGATTCTTGATTCAAATCTGGATTGCGGCGACACACTGCATACGGGGAAGATGTGATCGGAAGAATGAAACCTTTTTTTTGGTGGTGAGATTGGTGTTCAAATCAATGAGAGCACCAATTGATACGAATATCGTATCGGATAGGGAAGAACTTCGAACATTCTTCAAGCTCTAAGAAGAAAGGTGAGAAAGTTGGGAAACTTCGAGCGTTTCCGGGCTCCAAGAGAATAGAGGAGATTAGAATTTTGATATTTCTTTATTGATTGATTGAATAAAAGGATTATATCGCTATTTATAGGAGATAGAGAAACCCTAATGCTAACGGTATTTGACCTAATGGGCTCGGGCCCATACTAAAACCTTCAACAACATTAACTATTAAATATTAAATAACTACTAATTAATAAATAATATAACTAATCTATTATCGTATCAACAAGAGCACCAATGGTAACTATTCAACAAGCTTTTTTTTTTGAATGCTATTGACTCTATTACAAGGTAGTATCTGTTCATAGTACTATTCTCAAGCTAATGACTAATGACGCACAAAGAGCCAATGCTGCTGCCTTCGCTGGGGCTCGAACCTGGGTGAACTTCCCCATGAATCCTGGGGAGTGGGCTTGCTACCACTCAAGCCAGGGGAGAAGTTCTTCAACAAGCTATAATAAAAACAAATTAAATATTCTAAAAAGTAGTAAAGAGAAGAGTGGAGACCATTGTGAGCCTACCACGTGTTAAAGTGCTCGGAGAAAGAGAAGAAGAAATAAATAAAATATATTAAATTTAACAAAATAGTTTTTACCATTCGAGCTTATGTGATAAACTAGTCATCTATATTCTTGTAGGTGTTCTAAAACATCATATAGAGGCCCGGTTTTTAGTCTTCGTTGGAGTTGCTCTTATAAGCTTGCCTTCGTCATTTAAAATTGAAAAATTATCTAAAATAATCTCACATTTTTATGTTAAATAAAAAATTATATTACTTTTCATTGTTACTGGAAATAATCTCATTTTTCTACATGTGTGTGAGCTTTGGGCCGGGTCACCAATGGAAAAGTAACGGTCACTTGACGGATATTTTAGAAAATGTCTATTTTGCGCAAATAAATGAAATGTGAGATTATTTAAATAAATTCTTTTCTTGTTTTTTAATTAAAATTTTAAATTTATGTATTTAAAAATATAATAGTAGACTTTTGTTGGAGATTTCTCTCATTTTTTAAAAATATAATGATTCACAAATTGGTATTCCTATTTTGGAAGAAAATTTAATAATGGATTATCAAAAATAAATTGGAATATCGCTCAGGAAAAAATTACAAACAAAAAAAGTCATAGTGAGTATAAAAATAAGTAGTGCTATTTTAGAGAAAAAATTGTTGTGCTATTTTCACAACTTTTGAATTGTTATTTTTGAGGAAAAAGATTTGCAGTGAATTCTCGGAAAAAAGTTCCTAAATTTTATGGCGTCATTTTGGAAAAAATGATACTCATATGAGTTATGAGTGATTATCGATAAATATTTCAGAGTATTACTCATAAAAAAGCTCACAATATAAAATAAATATAGTGAGTTATAAAAATAATTGTTTATAAACTAAGATAAATTATAGGAAAAAAATTGTTTAACCAAAATGCATCACACATGTTAAAATACCATATCCTTAACATATAAAAAGCAGACTCTGAACTAAAAGAACATGATATTTTGCGGACTTGAGGCATGCCATGTGGTGGAGATGTGGTGTCACTTTTAGACAAGTAATATGTGACGTGCCACGAGAGAAATAAAAAAACTTTGCATGTCAAAAATATTAAAAACAAATCTCGATTCCAAATGAATTGAATACTTATTTCCTTTTTTTGATTCTTCTATTTTCAATTGTTTTCTTCCTTTCCTTTTATTCATTTTTCTAAAATGATAATTACTTTTTTAAAAACTTATTAATTAAAATTTATCATTTGCATTATTTTTTCCCGAATTTCAATTAATCTTAAAAATTGCACGTGAATTTTGGTGTTAAATTTTTTAGTATAATAATATAGTGTTATCAATTATATATATTCAATCATACTACACCAAAATATCTATAAATTATGTTATTTTCTCGAATTATTGAAAATTTGTTTCAAAAAATATTTTTAAGAATTTAAAGATTTTAATTAATTTTACTCGAATATTTATTAGTGTATGAAATTTTTAAAAAATAATCTCTTCATCCACAAATTTTCTTCCGTTACAATGTTTGAATAAAATTAGTTTTAATTCAATTTATATGACAATTCATGTAAAATTAAATAATAAAAAGTACATATTCAAAAAACGTGATCAATAGTTTTGCAAAATTAGAGATGATATTATTGTATTATTTTCACACATGACCTGTATCAAATCTCTATTATGCCACTTTATATATTACACATCTACCATCTCATTTAATACACGTCATCCACTTTCATTAAGAGTATTTTGGTAAACTTTTATCTTTTATCACCTCTCCTTAAAAATCACAAAAAATCAAAAAGAGAGATCTTATGGAGACAGAGGAATTGATTAATAATGTTAAAAAAAGTAAATTATAGTGTAACAAAAATCACATAAGGAAAGAATTTCTAAAATTATCAGGTAAAAATTACTTAAATTATATAATGCAAGAATTATTAAAATCATCGGGTAAAAATTATGAAAATTACATAACACATGAAATTATATTTAAACTTATATTTTTATAGCTTGGTAAACTATAAAACTTGACTTTAAATAAGACAAAAATTTGGATTTAATAGTAATTAAAACTTATGTTTAAATTAAAGTATCACTCTTAATCTATCTATACTTAAAAGCAGGGAAATTTAGGCCCAGCTTTTCCCACCCAAACAATGTGTCATTGTGAACCGTTGATTAGCTTTGACATCTTGATCAATGGTTGATTATTATTATGGATATTTCATTGGAATAGTAATAAAAACCGCAGGATAAAAATGGTAAGAATAAAAATCAGTAGAGAAACATAAGTGCATCTACAACAACAAAAAAAAGAAAAAAGGAAACACATTTATTAAATATGGACCGTGTGTTTTATGAAAAAAAGGAAAATGCATAAGGTTCCCTGTGTATTCTATTTAAAAAAAGGAAAGCTTTATTTTTGATAAAATCCGTGTGTATTTAATAAAGAGTTTGAGAAAAAGGAAAAAATTAATAAACAAGATGAAGCGTGTGTAATGTTAAAAAAAGGGAATAAAAGGAAACACATTTAAAGGATTAAGTGATATAAAAAAGTAAAGATGTTGATTTTAAAAAATGTTATTGGATCTACGGTTCTTATGCATTACCAAATATCAAATTGTCTAATTATGCTAATATTGAAAAAAGGCACAATTAACAACAAATGCTCCGTGGATTATTAAAAGGAAAAGAACTAAGAAAGAAAAGCAGCAGCTCTTAAGTAATAATAATATGGGATCTATGTTTAAGGTAAGATTTAAGAAAAGAAAAAGATGTAAAACCTGTAGTTAAATAAAATGAAGAAATTAAAAAAAGGGAAAAAAATTAAGTGAGGAAACATTTAAATTATTTTTAAACTTGGGTAGAAACTAAAAATTAATAGATGATAGAAATCTACAGGTGGAGCAAATATTTATACTACCTTCGTTTCTGAGTATTAGTCTAATTTTGACTTTTTTCGGTCTACTGTTTTCAATCTTTGACATATAATTAAATAAAATATACATTGTATTTTAATTAAATAAAATATATATTGAAAATATTTGATATAATAAATCTAATAAAACTTTTTTTGTATCAATATCTAATATCATTTTTATTTAATTTGAGGTCAAATTTTACCAATTTTGACCAATTTTGTAACAATATCTAATATCAATTTTGTATCATGTTTCCATTTATTTTTATTTAATTTGAGATCAAAGTTTACCAATTTTGTTTATTAATTTTAGAAATGGGACGATTTAATACCACATAATATTTCATGATGAATTAGTATGCCGCATTAATTCCAATACGGGAGAGTTAATTGTGATACCTTAAATAGAATTTATTAAATTGGTAGTTTACGAAGAAGAAGGACAACCGTAGATCTAATGAAATCAATGGTGCTAAATGAATGTGCTTTGGGCGGGAAAAGCTTGAGGCAGAATTCTCCTGCTTTTAAGCTTGGGACTTTGACCATGTGTAATTATTTATGTTCCCATTATAGTTTATCATGAGTATAATTTGTAACATAAATTACGTTAATGAATATAGTATACTATAAATGTAAGAATAAATAAAAATAAATTGAAACATGTAAAATTGTGACCGTGTAAAATGTACTACGTGAATGGTAATGTAACTAATGACTAAAAATGTCAGGATCATTAATAACCATATAACATGTGGCCTTATTAAATGGTACCATTAATAATAATAATAATAATAGTCCGAAATTAAATGTTAATTTTGCTGCACGGTATTTGGAGGAATACAGTAATGGTTAATAAATAAGTATTCTAATTAAATGGAGTTCTAAATAAAATGGGGATGAATACGATAATGATAAGTAGATAAATATTATAAATGAATGGAGAGTTCTAAATAAAATGGTAAGTTTTGATACAACATGGTACATGGAGGATTACGGTAATGGTAAGTAAATAAATGTTCTAAATAAATGGAGTGTTCTAAATAAAAATAAAAAAATATTAGAGTCACAAACAAATAACTCATAAACTTCCCAAATTTGTATTTTGTGACTCTAGCATTACTCAAATAAAATAGTAAATAAATAAATGTTAAATGAAGAATTATAATAAAATAGTAAATAAATAAATGTTACATGAAGAATTATAATAGTTAGTGTAAAAAACATAAAAGGTTACCAAAAGCTGTTAGGAACGTAAATATTATTGTACATTTATTATTAATTACCATACATAATGTCATTATTTATAATGAAAATTTTTGCACGTCTATTTCCTTTTCAAATCCCTTCTAGCATGTATAAATATTTGCTCCACCTGTGGATTTCTATCATCTATTAATTTTTAGTTTCTACCCAAGTTTAAAAATAATTTTAGTACTAAAGTTTTAAAATTCATTTCATATGTAGAATTGTCACAATTATTTAGATTGAAATAATATAATGTGTGATTCAACTTTAAAGATTATTTGTAAATCATAAAAATGATCCAAATTTTAAATGGCTACAATTTTCAAATGCAATCAATAAAATTTATATACTGCATTTCTTATTTAATGTATTTGTTTGTAAATTCTAACCCAATGTAATTGTTCAAATTGGTAATATGCAAAGTTCTTAGTTTTAAGTTTATATTTTTTAATTACTATATATTTGTATTTGGGCAAGTAATTTATGCATATTTTTACTACATTACGTACTAAATACTACNTGTAAATCATAAAAATGATCCAAATTTTAAATGGCTACAATTTTCAAATGCAATCAATAAAATTTATATACTGCATTTCTTATTTAATGTATTTGTTTGTAAATTCTAACCCAATGTAATTGTTCAAATTGGTAATATGCAAAGTTCTTAGTTTTAAGTTTATATTTTTTAATTACTATATATTTGTATTTGGGCAAGTAATTTATGCATATTTTTACTACATTACGTACTAAATACTACATAAATTTCGTTGTGTACCTATTAACTGTAGTGCTAATGTCGGATTTTTTATAGCGATAACAATGTAGTTCACAAAAAATCAAACGTCAAATTTCTTTAAATTTTATATTTTGATTAAATAACCTATTTGTTGTTAATTTTACTTTTTAAATAATAAAGTGATGAGTAATGCTAGAGTCACAAATAAACAACTCACAAAATTCACAAACTTGCCTTTTTAACATTTTCCTAGAAATAAGATGCTCCCAAATAATAAAAGTATTTTAATTTAAAATCCACAAAAGAAAAGTTTGTGAAGTTTGTGAACTATTTGTTTGTGACTCTAGCATTTTCCTAAAGTGATTAAATAATTTAATATTAAAAATATTAGCCGTGCAACGCACGGGAGTGATACTAGTTAGTTTTAGTTATGGCAAAAACATATATTTTTAATAAGGTAACTAATGCATAAAATAGAAAACGCATCATTCTTTTATTAAAGTTATAAAAAGAGTAATTATAATTAATAAAAACATAACAACAAAAAGTAATTGTAATTATTGGCACATAGTTTAAAAATAACATAACATATTGACGTGTCAAAAAATGACCAAATATATTATCCATTTGTCAAACTCCTGAATCAAGTGTCAAATATTATAATAAATGTTTGGAAATAATTTGATTCTAGGATACTAGTTAAGAGAAAAATAAATAAATTTTGTTCCATTTGAGCTAGGAAAAGGCGAGAAATTATTTCTAATTTTTTCGAATTCCAGAACAATGTTAGGACGGGACTAGAAAGTCAGCTACCTTCTCAGTTCTCCCTCGAGTCTTTATTTCTTCATTAGTCCTTTCTTACCAAATCTGAAGCAATCACATCTAGAAATTATCGAGTAAAAATTATGAAAATTTCATAACACAAGAAATTATATTTAAAGTTATATTTTTATAATTTGATAAACTATAAAATTTGATTTTAAATAAGACAAAAAATTGGATTTAATCGTAATTAAAACCTATATTTAAATTAAATTATAACCCCAAATTAGCTTTAGTTATGGCAAAAACATATATTTTTAATTAGGTAACCAAGGCATAAAATAGAAAACGCATCATTTTTTATTAAAATTATAAAATGAGTAAATATAACTAGTAAAAACGTAACAACGAAAAGTAATTATCAAAACATAGTCTAAAAATGACATGGCATATTGACGTCTCAACAAATGAACAAATGTGTTATCTATTTGTCAAACTCTCATAAAGCAATTCTCAAATATTATACTCCCTCCGTCCCAATTTATAATGCCTGTTTACTATTCACAGGGTCAAATTTCATTCACTTTTTTTCTCAATTTTCGTTAGCAATTTGATAAAATAAAATATTGTTGTCACTACTAGTTTTGTAGATCTTTTGATGTAGTATTTTGATATGCAATTTTTATTTTTTAACTCTATACCATTTGTCATATAAAATGATTTGAAAATAACTTCAGTCAAACATCGTAAACCGAAACCAGCATTATAAAATGGGACGGAGGGAGTAGTAAAAATTTGAAAATAAATAAATTTTGTTCCATTTGAGCTAGGAAAAGGCCAGAAATTGTTTCTAATTTTTTTCGAATTCCATGACTGGACTAGAAAGTCAGCTACCTTCTAAGTTCTCCCTCGAGTCTTCATTTCTCCGACACTCTTTTCATCGCTACAGAGATGAAGCACATCAAATCGGCCGCCCGTAAGATCTCCCGGATTGTCAACGAGAGAAAACGTCTCATGAGAGCCATGGGGTCATCAGTTTCTTACGGGGAACTGTGCAACTTGCCGGTGCCGAGGGAAAGAGTGGACGCGGTGGTAGTAGGAGCAGGGGTGGTGGGCATAGCGGTGGCGCGTGAGCTTTCTGTGAAGCACGGGAGGGAAGTTTTGGTCATCGACTCTGCACCCACGTTCGGCACCGGAACGAGCTCTCGCAACAGTGAGGTCATCCATGCCGGGATCTACTATCCTCCCCATTCTCTCAAGGTCCCTTCCACTCTCTGATTTACGGAATTATTATTATTATTATTATTATTATTATTATTATTATTATTATTATTATTATTATTCTTATTATTATTATTATTATTATTATTATTATTATTAACCCTATTTAAAGATTGGGAAGGTTGCTTGCAATGGAGATTACAAAAGAAATTTACAAAAAATAATTCTGCTATTGCTCTATCAGTTAATAAAACATTGGGTTGGAGTATTTTTGGAAATTAAACTCATTTTTTGCAAATGAGTATCATCTAGTTGAGCAACTTCTACCCAATTTTAAAATTCTATTGTAGCGTTTGAGTTTGTTTTGATTCATGTGTTTGTTTGGTTTCCCGTTTGGTTGGTGTTATATGCTCTATGAATGTGATGACTCCCCAACCCCAAGCGAACCGCGAGGGTGTTCGTTGGTTGTTTGTTTGGAAGTTCATTCCTAGTGGCATGTGTTTCGTTGAGTTCGTTGTCAATGCTAGTTGATAAAATTTAGGAAGGGGTAGGGATTTGTTGTCAATTTCAAGAGCTTATATACCCATTATTTTTCTCTTCAAAGCCGACGTGGGACTCTTGTAGGACCTCAGGCGCTACCAACTCTTCTAAAACCAATTGGTGCTAGAAGAGGTGCATACCCTAGCCTTATAGTGCATTCAGCACACAAGCGCCCACGACATTCGACTGTGACTTGGCCCACATAGCCTCCGCCACGGGACAATTGCTGCACACATGGCCAACAATCTCCCCCTCAGCAATTGCTCCCGCTGGGAATCGAACTCGTGACCTTGGCTCTGATACCACTTGTAGAATCTCAGGCGCTACCAACTCTTCTAAAACCAATTGGTGCTAGAAGAGGCGCATACCCTAGCCTTATAGTGCATTCAGCACACAAGCGCCCACGACATTCGACTGTGACTTGGCCCACATAGCCTCCGCCACGCGACAATTGCTACACACATGGCCAACAACTCTAACACAAATAAAAGATCCTAGTTGAACAAGTTAATTGATTGAATGATTTATTGGGATGGGCTTAAAGTCTAGTCCAGTTATTCTAATTCAATCCTCTTCACCATTCCAAATTACATAACAGGCAAGATTTTGCATGAGAGGAAAAGAGCTCCTGTACGAGTACTGCAAAGCTCATGAAGTTCCTCATAAAGAGATTGGCAAGCTGATTGTTGCTACTAGCTCTTCAGAGATCCCAAAGCTGAGTGCTTTGATGTCCAGAGGAATTGAAAATGGGGTTAAAGGTCTCAAGCTCATTGAGCCTTATGAAGCCAGAAGGGTAGAACCGGAATTGCATTGTGTTAAAGCCTTATGGTCACCTTCTTCTGGAATAGTTGACACTCATTCCCTAATGCTCTCACTAGTGGTATGCTCTTGCATTCGATATTTATTTTCCAGCTATTGGATTGTCATCACGCAAAATTTATTGAGCACTACTTCTCCATAAGCGCGCAAGATTTCCATCTTTCACATGTTTGGGGCTAAAATGGTGCTTGAGTCAGAATCTCTTGTAAACAATCTCTTTACCTTTCCTAGGTAGGGGTAAGGTTTGCATAGACCCGTGGCCCCCCAACTCCTTGGATTCTATTGGGTTGGTTGATGTAAATGTTTAGGGCCAGTTTGATATTTTGGCTATAAAGTGCTGAATTGTGTTCCTCTTTTCTCTTTCGCAATGTGTTTTTAGTCATCTATAGGCCATTGTGGTGTTAAAGAATGATATGGCCTTTTTTGTTTACTCTTTTAGAGTTGTATATATGTGTGTATATTGACAGGAATGTCACCCCAAATGGGTCTAGGGGGAAGCTGAAAGTCATGGCACAACTTTCACCTTCAACACTACGGTGATCGGTGGCTACATTGATGGGAATCAAATTCACATACATGTCTCTGAGAGCAAAACTCTTTCAGACTGGAATGGGAAATCTCAGCTCTGCCCAGAACTTATTCTTATTCCTAGATTGGTAGTGAACTCTTCAGGCTTAAGTGCAACAGCCGTGGCAAAACGGTTTGGTGGACTGGATGGTCGATTCATTCCCAATGCTCATTTTGCCCGTGGTTGCTATTTTACTCTCTCAACCTCCAAGAATCCGTTCGCGCATTTGATTTATCCCATACCCGAAGTCGGTGGTCTTGGGGTTCATGTCACCCTAGATTTAAATGGGCAAGTCAAGTTTGGCCCTGATGTCGAATGGATAGATGGCATTGACGATGTTTCAAACTTTCTAAATATGTAAGTTTTCTTCATTCACTTGAAATTCAATATCTATTATATTTCATTGTGGGATTCTCTTCACATGTAATTTTTTAGGTTTGATTATTCGGTACGCGAAGACCGTGACCAGAAATTCTATCCAGCAATAAGAAAATACTACCCCGGCCTAAAGGATGGGACCCTCAAGCCTGGTTATGCTGGTATTCGACCCAAACTTTCTGGCCCGGAAGAAGGCTTCACCGATTTTATAGTGCAGGTATGAACTACCGAGCGTGGGCCCGTTTGGGGAGCGAAGCAGAGTTGATATGATATGATTTCTGAAATCTGAAAAAAATAATGCTCCATATGAATTTTGAAATCTAAACCACAAGTGTTCGGAGAGATTTGAAATGATGGTAAGCGGCGGCAGTGGTGGCCGACGATGACGGCGAGTAGCCGGCGGTGGAGTGGCCGATGACGGTGGGTGACCCGCGGTTGAGGGAGGTGTCAAAACCCACGGATTGATGTTTCATAAATTCGGGAGATACCAAAACACTCCATTTGGGAGGGTTGTGATATCGGGATATATCGAATTTCAACCTCATATAGGCTTCACTAAACACCCACAAAAGAGTGTTGGTATCGAGAGATATTAGAACTCATGCGCTCACCAAATGGGCCTTAGTTTCTTGAATAATTTTCTATACTTCTTCCAGCATTAACATTCAAAAGGGTCCAAGAATGATCTTCATAGGCCTTTTAACTTTTGAATGCGTTTTTTTTTAATTAATATGTAGGGAGAAGACATTCATGGCATACCTGGTCTTGTGAATCTGTTTGGTATCGAATCGCCAGGCCTGACTTCAAGTTTGGCCATTGCAGAGCATGTTGCTGCTAAAGTATGAAGCAGATGATTTTGTGGTCATACTTGGGCACACAGATTTACTATATTAAGGGCAATTTGGTAAATTTCTACCTTTTTCATCTCTAATTAAAATTGATGAGAAATCAGTTTGAGAAAGTTTAGGAGACTAGTATTATACATGATCAGAAGAGGTGGAAACGTAAAAAACCATATATGAAGTACATAAAAAAAACATCGTACTTCGCCAATGATGTCGTAAACCCCCATGTATACGTATACAACATCATCATATACATACATGGGTCGCGGTGCCTGGCCTCTCTTCGTGGTGATGTTCAATCTGAGTTCATCATGTCATACGTTCCCCGGCCCATGTATGTATATGATGATGTTGTGTACATATATTAAGGGTGGTTGTTTCAAAGCCGGAACAAAAATAATGGTAAACAAACGTGCATAAACATTCTGTTCTATTTTCTTTATATATATATGGACTATTAGTTGTGTGATTGTGATCCTAAAATGGTGTGAATATGAGTTCTGTGATTGTAGTCCTAAAGTTTACATGGGGAGATTTTCACATATTTTGCATGTGCACATAGTTGAATTTCTTTATTTTTATAAAGTCCAATGCATATATATATATATATATATATATATATATATATATAGACACGCGCGATATTTGTTTGTCATTTTTTTACATGTAAAAATTAATTCTTTACTATATGGAGTATTAAATTTTACTTTCATTTAATTCATAAAAAATTATTAATAAACAACTTTTTAATGATTTTTACTTTTTATTTTTACATCTTTTTTTTGAAATTTTAGTTTTTTGTTTTGAATTTTTTGAACTTTTATTTTTTATATATATTATATAATATCTTTCAAGAAAAATGATTTAAAAAAATTGATTTTTCTAATAGTCATGTTCAAAAGCTACTCCCCTTGGCTTTTTAGATTTTGGCTTTTCGGATCAAAATGCCAAGTGAAAAAGTCATTAGACAAACAATGGTTTTGGATGTTTGCTTAGTAAAAACGCCAAAGTCAGTCAAAGATTTCAAAAGCTGTCTAAAAATTGTTTTATCTAAACACGGCCATGGTTGAAGTATAAAAAATTGAAATGTAAAACACTACTCAGTGTAAAAATAAAATTTAAAAAAAATGTAACCATACATTTTTTTCATTAGGCCGGCCCATTACCTGAAATATGAAAGAGGCCGAGACCAGTTGTGATGGATAACTGGGTCGAATAATCCCGGATTGAAAACTGATCCGAAATGGGTCGGTCTCTCGAGGCTTTGCGATAAACCATTCGAGATTTCAAATTATCTCTCTGCAACATCAGCTTTAACTCCCCTTCAACTTACACCACAAATTCATTGAAAATATTGGGCTTTAAACTTTTTTTATTTTTAATATAGATTTTATAAAAGTAAATTAATAAGATTTCATTAATTAATTAAATCCGTAATAATTCATTAAATAAAAAATACATTAAGTAAAAGAAAGTCCATTAAATTAAAAAACCCCAAAAAAATTATATACTCAAGAGACTCGAGACCGGATGGAGGTTTCATGATACGGAGTATAATTTAGAAATTGATGAAAGATGAGAAGTATTTTTAATAGAAAGTAGAAGATTTCTGTGTCTTTTATTTTAAAAAATGGTAGTGAATTTATCGAGTATTTTTTTAACGCTTCGACGGCATCAAAAACTCAATGACGGAGAAAATTTTATGCCTATTTCCAGTGCCCTAAGAGTCATTAAAAGAAAATTTGTAAAGTTTATAAACTTTTTCTTTGTCACTATCGGCCAATTAATAAAGTGGGGAGGATGTACCAAAATTAGGTCGTAGTCGTTCATACATACATGCATTTTGGAGTTGGTTCAGACGTCAGCCCCTAATTCAGTATTTGGCCGGCATGCATGCAACTTCATGGAAATTTCATAGAGTACGTACTTGGCCTCTAATGACCACTTGAGAAAAAGACTTTGCACTTCTTTTTTGGCTACTTGATTAGTTGTTGATTATACTCTTGAGTAGAAAAATAAATTGCTCTACCTAAATAAGAACAAAACATAGCGAAAATACTAAAATAATAATTCTATATTTTTGTCCATAAAATAAGACTTTACATTGTGTAGTAATGTGATACTACATATTGACATTTCACAATGCCTTTTGTTAATGGGGAAATTACTTGTATAGCACTAAAACAATGCCCCTTTCTTTTTATAGCACTAGTGTTAGGAAGTCAATTGTTTTAATGGCGCAGGGGTATTGAAAATACTAAAATGACCTTCATTTTTTTCGTAGATGTAAAAAACCGCTGAGCCGCTTTCCATTCAAGACGTTCGGATCCCTAAAATCACGGCATTACCTTCGAAGGTCTCTTCTTGTAGAACGTAATTGGCCTTGAATTTTGGGAGGAAATAGTATGCGGCTGTCAATTGCGTGTTTAAACCCTAAATTTAGAAAACGCAGAGGGAGAGAATTGAGAAACAAAGACAAAAACGCAGGAGAGGTTGCGGCGACGAAGACAGTGAGAAGTGATAGTGAGTCGCCGATTGTGATGTCCGCGAGGAAGACGACGACGGCTGCTGGAGTTGCTATTGACGACAACACCGAGATTGTTGGCGAAGAGGGCAGTGAAATTACTGTGAAATGCGTTTCTGGGAAGGTTAGTTTATTCTGTCTATGACATTTTTTTGGACATTATTCATAAAGATGAAGTTTTTGTTAGTGTTTGAGAAGGAAAATATTGTATTGTAGTGGTGTAGTGTGTTGCATGTTTTGGGTTTTTTTTCTCTGAATGATAGGTAGTAGGCAGTGTAGAGGATTTTGGGATTATGAGGGTGTTGTCCTTTGAATGTGCATATTATTAAAGATCAAACATGATTGAGTGTTTTTGATGGAATTAAATCAATTTCATGAGAAAGTAAGTGTAGTGTTTCATTAGGGTTAGTATACTGTTTCTTAAGGGTTTTCCATAATGGTCACTGGACTGTGCTATGTCAATGTCAGTTGGTCAATGTGTTTTGTTATTGTTCAGTGTATTATGTAATGGTTAGTATGAAGACTAAGGTTAATTTGGAGTCAGAGTTTAGAAACAGTCCAGTGTTCTTGGTTTTAGAGGACAGTGGTGTTTTTATGTGCATGGTATTAAAAGGAAAGGATCATAATGGGGTTTTGAAAAGGTTAATATCCAATAGACTACCAAGTAAGTGTATTGTTTCTTAGGGCAAGTGTAGTGTGAAAATGAGTTTCTTTTGTTCTGTTCCGTATAGTGTTTGTTCTATGTCACTGTAAAATGCTTTCTCCGTGTTGGTTCTAATAACAATTGGGTTTTAATGACCAGAGTAAACCAGTGCAGTGTGTTGAATATATTGTCAGTGTTTTTTTGGGTGTTACTGTTGTCCGTTAAGTAGCAAAGTTCACTTAAGACCTATTTGAAGGATAGATGAATTTATAAGTGCATTTTACTTTTTTTATAACAGACCAAGCTCCGGAATTTTTGTGATGAAAATGGCAGAGCTTCTGATGATGGGGAGAGGAGTGATTGAAATCGAGCCAGGACAGATAAATACATATCGGAAGAAAATTACTGCGGACATATTAATGTATGCTTCCTTTCAAGGACTCTAAATGCTGGGCATAGCAGGGTTATTTAAGTGAATGAATGGTTGCAACCGTCATGGAGACTTAGATCTTTCATGCCCGCTAAAAAACAGAATGTTATCTTTTTTTCTTTTCTATGTCCTTTTTTTAAATTTGGAATACTTGTAGTTTTTTCAGGTAGTATTGAAAATGTTAACCGGTTGAGTTTTGGATATCAAATGTTCATTTTGTTAGTAGAAGCGTGGTTATTTTAGCAGAAGCATAGTGAATATTAGAATGGTGGAACAATTACAAGCTGACTTATACTTGTGCACTGGCTAGGAATGAGGTGTTTTTAATGGTCGGTGTATGTGCAATGATTTTTTTTTAATGGTCAGTATAGTGTTCTGTAATGGTCATTACAACGCGCTAAATCCATGTTGGTTGGTCTATGTGTTTTGTTAATGGTCAGTATATTATGAAATGGGTTGTATGACCAGTGTAGAGCAGTGCAGTGTATTGCATACATTGTCAGTGGTAATTATTTCCAAAGTGTCAAAAAACATATTTTGGGTAATCTAGGGGCAGTAACATATGATAAAGATGTGGGCAGTGGTACATGAGAAAGTTGTGGGACAGTGTTATATGTGGTTTAAAAAATTTGTACTGATTCTTGTTTACAAACTTCTATTAGAAGAATGATATATTTTTAAACAATACATAGTAATTCGCACTAGAAAACATTACAAGGACCAAATATGTAATGAGGTTTTATTATCAAACAAATTAAGAAGAGGGCAGTACTACTAATAAAAGTTTGTTCCTGTGGTCAAGCAAAATAGAGAATGACACTAAACATGGCGTCCAAAAGCAGCTAATAAAAAACCGTTTAAAAGTGAAATGCATTTCTTCGGTTAAGGAACCTAAAACTCTGTTGTGCAAGATTGATTTTGCTCACGAACAACGTACTGGAAGTGGATTAGTACATGTTTTTTTGTTATGTCCGGACATTGTGCAACGTGAACAAGTCTGCCGCCTCCTCTCTCCCTTAGATGGAATCCGTCTCTTTTTTGGCCTTCCTGGTGGACGTTTAGTGCATGAAGGCGGAAAACATGGGATAGTGGCGACTTCATCAGGGACTATCCATGAGTCTCTAGTAGGAATTGGGTGTATGACTCCATTATACGCAAGTTTCCACTCCACACTTGTGTAGAATGGGGATATGTAGTCATAAGATGATAAGCCTGGCCTATTGCGTATTGCGGCAACTGCGTGAACACAAACAAAGTGATCTAGTTGAAACTCTCCACACGTGCAGTTCCTCTCACGGAAATTGACAACATAAGACCTTCCTTTTTTATCAACAACCAAGTACTCATATGAGCATGACGGCCGAACCTAAACAAAAACGGTAAGAAAATGATGGTACGGGAATAGCAAAATGATGTGATTAAATGAATATGAATGTGAAAGCGTACCGTCATAAACGCAGATGCCACATGTAGAACAAGTAGATCAGATTCACATTGTTTGGTCAAAATAGTAGATGTTGAATGAGCAAGTTCCCTACGATCGTGAAACCATTTTTGCATTCGTCCAACAATGAAATCAACAAGCTGAGCGATGGGGTATTCCCGGGGGGTCGCATTAACACTATTCATGGACTCCGCATTGTTCGACGTCATTATGGAATAGCGGTTCACATTGAAACATGATCTGGCCCATTTCTCCATGCCGATGGAATATAAATATGGTCTAATCCTCGGATCCTCATCGTCTAGTAGGCTCAGGTACCGATCGCAGTAGGACTTTGTGGGTGCGCGTGCAGCAGCAAAAAATTTCCATCTCAGTGCTTTCTCAGAACCATTGA